GGGTGACTCCATCGGTTGGGTGTCCGGCTTTTGATTTCGGCTCAGGTCATGAGATCAAGCATTGCGTCAGGGTCCACGCTGAGCATGGAGCCTGCTTAAGATTCTTTCTCTGCCTCTCCCCCTCTCCTCCACTAGGGTGCTCTCTCTCTCTCAAAAACAAAACGACCCAGACACACAGATCAATGAAACAGAGGGCCCAGAAATAAACCCATGCACATACTGTTAACTGATGTACAGAAGAGCCAAGAATATACAATGGGGAAATGAGCGCCTCTTTGATAAATGGCTCTGGGAAAACTGAACAGCCACATGCCAAAGAATGAGACATCCGCTCTCTTACACGAAACACAAGAATGAACTCCAAACAGATTAAAGACTTGAATTGAAGACCTGAAGCCATAAAGCTTCTACAGGAAGACATAGGCAGAAAGCTCCTTGGCATCGGTCTTGGTGGGTGAGGACATTTTGGATTTACCATGAGAAGCAAAAGCAACCGATGTACAAATTAGCAAGGGGGACCCCATCCAGCTACAAAGCTTCCACACAGCAAGAGGACCATCACCAAAGTGAAAAGGCAACGTACTGAGTGGAAGGAAATATTGGCAAATCATGTATCTGATAAGGGGCGAATATCCAAAATATGCAAACAATTCCTAGAACTCAATAGCAAAAAAAACAGAAAAGAAAAAAGAAAAAAAACAATCCAAATAAAAACAAATATTTTTTATATAAAATCTCTCTCTATATATAGATATATCTCACTCTATATATATAATATACATAGATAAATACATCTCTCTCTATATATCTCGCTCTATGTATAAAGAGAGACAGATAGGTAGATAGATATAGATATATCCCTCTCTCTAAATCTCTCTGAATATGTATAGATATATCGCCCCCACCGAAACCTTAAGCAGGCTCCATGCCCAATGCAGGGCCCGAACTCACCACCCTGAGATCATGACCTGAGCTGAGATCAAGAGTTGGATTCCCAACACTGAGCCACCCAGGTGCCCCCCAGAAAGCGTTTTTTAAAAAGGGAACCAAATGGATATATGCTAACTAACCTGAATGTAAATTTTAAAAAAAAATAAATTTAATAAATTAAAACTTTTTTGAAAAGGGAACCAAATGGAAATTTTCAACTAAAGCACATAATGCTTTACGTCATTATGATTTTAAAAGGGGGCTCCTGGGTGACTTGGTTGGTTGGGCACTGGCTCTTGATTTAGGTCAGGATCTCACAGTTTTCTGAGTTCAAGTCCTGTGTTGGGCGCTGTGCTGGTGCCGCGGAACCTGCTTGGGATTCTCCCTCTCTCTCTGCCCCTCCCCCGCTCTCAAAAATAAATAAACATTAAAAAAAAATCCATGCACCTCATTACAATCATTATGATTTTAAAAGGGGGCTCCTGGGTGACTTGGTTGGTTGGGCACTGGCTCTTGATTTAGGTCAGGATCTCACAGTTTTCTGAGTTCAAGTCCTGTGTTGGGCGCTGTGCTGGTGCCGCGGAACCTGCTTGGGATTCTCCCTCTCTCTCTGCCCCTCCCCTGCTTACGCTGTCTCTCTCAAAATAAACTTAAAAAATAATTTTAAAAATTCAAAAGTCAGAAAAAAAAAAAAAAAACAGAGGCAAGGATGTGGAGAAAATGGATCCCTGTACAGCTCTGGTAGGAATGTAAAATGGTGCGGCCACCGTGGATAAACACCGTTAACAGTAGTTCTCAAAAGAGCAAAAACAGAATTTCTAGATGATTCAATCATTCCACTTCTGGGTAGACAGCCAAAGCACGGAGAGCAGAGGCTGCAGGAAATCCGCGGGCACCCTTGTGGTTGACGCAGTATTCACAACAGCTAAGACGGAGCAGCAGCCCAATTGTCCACTGATGGACGTACAGATAACAAACATGGAGGGCACCTGAGGGCTCAGCTGGCTCAGGTCATGATCTCACAGTTCGTGAGTTCGAGCCCCGTGTCGGGCTCTGTGCTGACAGCTCGGAGCCTGGAGCCTGCTTCGGATTCTATGTCTCCTTCTCTCTCTGCCCCTCCCCTGCTCACGCTGTCTCTCTCTCTCAAAAATAAATGTTAAAAAAAATAAAAACAAACAAACACAGTCTATCCAACAACCGAGTATTGCTCAGCCTCAGGAAGGAAGGAAATTCCGACACACTCTACAATACGGAGCGACCGTCAGGACGTTATGCTAATGAAATAAGCCAGTCGCAAAAAGAGAAATATTGTAGCTGTCCAGGGATGTGACGCTGACGCTCAGGCAAAAGGAGAAGGGGGGTCACCAGGAGCTGGGGGCGAGGGGTGCAGGGAGTCGCCGTTTCATGGGGACAGAGTTTCAGTTTGGGAAGATGAAGAGAGTTCTGGGGACCGACGGCGGTGAGGACACACGGCAGTGCGAATGCACTGAACTAGAACTTTCAAAATGAAACACTTAAGGTTATGTGTATTTCACCACCAGTTTTTTTATTTTAAAAAAATTTTTAATGTTTATTTTTTGTTGAAGGGGAGAGACAGAGCACGACCAGGGGAGGGGCAGAGAGAGGGAGACACAGAATCCGAAGCAGGCTATTTCCTTTCGTAAGGATTTATAGGGTTTTCTTCCCCTGTAGATCCCACCCGTTTCTTTGAAAGGTCATTTCTAAGTATTTTGGTTTTTGTTACTATTTTGCCTAGGAATTTTTTTTCATTCCAGTTTTTGCAAATGAGTATTGCTGGTATGTTGGAAAGCAATTTCATTTTCATACATGTATTCTGTTTCCAACGTTCTTGCTGAAGTTATTTTTTAACTAGTTCTAAATTTGGGAGTAATGGCTGCAGTTTCCATTGCCAATCAAAATTATAACATTGTCTTGCTTTTCCAATCAAATATTTCACTGGTTTGCAATGTCTTGAGTTATTTCTCAGCCAGAACTTTCAAAAAATTTTTGTACGTTTATTTATTTTTGAGAGAGAGATGGAGACAGAGGATGAGCAGGGGAGGGGCAGAGAGAGAGGGAGACACAGAATCCAAAGCAGGCTCCAGGCTCCGAGCTGTCAGCACAGAGGCCGATCTAAGACTTGAACACAAACTGTGAGGTCATGACCTGAGCCAAAGTCAGACGCTTAACCGACTGAGCCACCCGGGCACCCCACACCACAATTTTTTTTTTTTTTTTAATGAGGAAAAAAATAACCAAAATGCCCATGTACTAGCACATAGTTCTGTGAGCCAGAAGTCCAGGCAGCTCAGTTCAGGGTCTTAGAAGGCCAATATCAAGGCCTCAGTTCGACGGGGCTCATATCTAGAGCTCTAGGGAAGAATCAACTTCCAGCTTCATTCAACTCGCTGGCAAATTCCAGTTCTGTGGGTCTGAGGCTCTCTGCCCCCAGAGGCCACATACAGTCCTTCCCATGTGACCCTCTCCATCTCTGACGCCAGGCGCAGCCCATCAGATCCTTCTCATGCTTCAAAATTCTCTGTCTTCCTTTCTGCTGCCAGATAGAGAGATCACTCTGCTTTTAAAGGACTCACCCGACTGGGTCAGGCCTACTCAGATAATCTCTGTATTTTAAGATCGGCTGACTTGGGACTTTAATTCCATCTACACAATCCTAACGTAGCAGCACTGAGATCAGTATTCTTTTGACTAGCTAGAGGAGGGGGGTCTGGGGGTCATCTTTATTCTGTGTACCACAAGTAAAACAAGCTACTCTCAGATGAAACAGGGAGGAGTCCTTGCCAGAGACCTTCTGGAACAGAAAGGCTGAAAGTTCATTGGGCTGAAAAGAAGGGATGCCAGAGAGCGACTTAGAAATTTCGGGTGAAGAAAGAACAACTATCGAGGTAAATATAAAAGATTCTTTTTCCTCCTAAATTTGTTAATAGACATAGGACTGTTAAAAGCAAAAATTATAACATTTTATAGTGTTTTCTTTTTTAAGTTTATTTATTGTGAAAGACAATGTGCCAGCAGGGTAGGGGCAGAGGTAGAGCGAGAGAGAGAATCCCAAGCAGGCTCCATCAGAGCAGAGCCCGACGCGGGGCTCGGACTCATGAAACTGTGAGATCATGACCTGAGCTGAAATCATGAGTCAAACACTTAACCAACTGAGCCACCCAGGCGCCCCTGGTGAGTTTTCAATGTATGTAAATATATGTAGATGTATGTAAATGTATTATACATGAAAACCATAGTTTAATGGATGTGAGAGTAAAGAATCCTGTAAGGTTACAAAGGACTACTGGAAGTGACATAATATTAACTCTAAGCAGACTGTGAAAAGTTAGGTATGTTTCATAATCCCTAGAGCAACCACTAAAATAACAACATCAAGTACGTAGCCAAAACACCAAGATAGAAGTTAAAATGGAATATTAAAAAATATTCAAATACTGGGGCACCTGGCTGGCTCAGTAGTAGAGCATGCCCCTCTTGATCTGAGGATTGAGTTCAAGCCCCACATTAGGCGTAGAAAATACTTAAAAACAGCATCTTAAAAAATTTTTCAAATATTACCCAAGGGGAGGAAGGTATGGGACTAGGAGATAAACCAGAGGAACCAAACCATAGAGAAGACAAAGAGAAAAAAATAATAAAATTATAGACTTAAATACGACCATTTCAGTAATTACATTAGGGGTGTCTGGATCGCTAAGTCGGCTGAGCATCTGACTTCGGCTCAGGTCATGATCTCGCGGTTCATGAGTTCGAGCCCCACGTCAGACTCTGTGCTGACAGCTCAGAGCCTGGAGCCTGCTTCAGATTCTGTGTCTCCCTCTCTCTCTGACCCTCCCCTGCTTGCACGCTGTCTCACTCTTCCTCAAAAATAAATAAAAACATTTAAAAAAATTTTTAATTACATTAAATATTAATGGTCTAAACAGTCCAATTAAAAAGAAGAGATGGACAGAATGAATAAAAGCCAAGACCTACAAGGGTACCTACAACAGATGCTGTTTAAATAAAAAGACACAAAAAGGTTGAAAGTAAATGGATGGGAAGGATACGCCATGCCAACGGTAAGCAAAAAAAGGCTACAGTGGATTTTAATATCAGATAAAATAGACTTCAAGACAGGGTTGGGGCGCCTGGGTGGCTCAGTCAGTTAAGCGTCCGACTTCGGCTCAGGTCATGATCTCACGGTTTGTGAGTTCGAGCCCCACGTCGGGCTCTGTGCTGACAGACAGCTCAGAGCCTGGAGCCTGTTTCAGATTCTAAGTCTCCCTCTCTCTCTCTCTGCCCCTCCCCTGCTCATGCTGTCTCTCTCTCTCAGAAATAAATTAAAAAAAAATTTTTTTTTAATTTTTAAAAAGACAGGGTATTATCAGTAATAAAGAGGAACACTTCATAATGATAAAAGGGACAATTCACCAGGAAGGCATAAACAACTATAAAGGCATGTGTCCCTAATACCAGAACTTCAGTATACATGAAACAAAAATTTATAGAGATAGAGAAGTATACAAAATTTACAACCATAATAAAAGATTTCAACACTCTTCTTAAAGAAATTAATAGAATAACTGGACAAAACAGCATTCAGGACACAACTGACCTGACCAATGCTATAAACTATGTTGATCAACCAATGTTTACAGAATATGACATCCACTAATTGCAGACACTGTTCTTTCCAAGGGCAAAAGGTACATTCACAAAGATCACATGCCAGGCCATAAAACAAGTCTCAATGTTAAAAACAAAACTGAAATAACTCAAACTGTTATTCTCTGACCAACCACAACAGAAGTAAGTTAGAAACCAGTAACAACGATCTATATAGGGTAATACCTAATATCTAAAAAATAATCTACATACTTCAGAAGAATTCATGGATCAAAAATAAAATCATGAGGCAAGTTAGAAAGCATTTTGAACTGAATGATAATGAAATGCGGCTAGTGCAGTTCTTAGAGGGAGACACAGAGCTTTAAATGACTATATTAGTGGGGGCGCTTGGATGGCTCAGTTGGTTAAGCGTCTGACTCTTGATCTCAGCTCAGGTCATAATCTTGCAGTTTGTGGATTCAAGCCCTGTGTCAGGCTCTACACTGACAGTACAGAGCCTGCTAGGGATTTCAGCGCTTGCTCTCTCTCTCTCTCTCTCTTTCTCTCTCTGCTCCTCTCTCGCTCACTGTCTCTGTCCCTCTCAAAAAAAAAAAAAAAAAAAGAACTTTAAAAAATAAAAAATGACTACATTAGAAAAAAAAGAAAGGTTTAAAATCAATGATCTATAGTCCATCTTGGAATCTTGCTAGAAAAGGAAGAGCAAAGTAAACACACTGCAGATAGAAGTATGAAACAATAAAGAACAAATATCAAGGAAATAGGCGCGCCTGGCTGGCTCATTCGGAAGAGCATATGACTCTGAATCTTGGGGTCATGAGTTCGAGCCCCATGTTGGGTATAGAGATTACCTAAAAACATGAAATATATTCTTTTAAAAAAAATCAGTGAAATAGAAAATAGACAGTAGAAAACATTAACAAAGTCAAAAGATGGTTCTTTGAAAAGATCAAATTGACAGACCTCTAAAAAAACAAACAAACAAACAAGTTGACAAACCTCTACCTAGACTTATGAAGAAAAAAAGAGAAGACAAATAGGCATGTCTGGATGAAAAAGGGGTTATCATCACAGATCCTACAGACATTAAAAGGAAATTAAGAGAATGCTACAAACACCTTAAGTCAACAAACCTGACAATGTAAATGAAAGAAATTTCTTTCTCCAACTCTCCAAAATTGAGACAAGAACAAACAGGAAATCTGAATCGTTGTATTTCTGTTAAACTTGTTACCAAAAACAAAAAAGCTCTATGCCCAGATGCTTTCACTGCTAAAGTCTATCAAACATTCAAAACAAAAAAAACAAAAAAAAAAACTCATATTACAGTTTTTTTAAACAGAGGAGGTAAAATCACTGCCAAAATCAAGAGACTGTAAAAGGAATAAAACTCTCCTTGTCTGCAGGTGATATGCTTGTTACATAGAGAATCCAGGAAATCTACACCAATTTCAAAAACAAATAAATGGACCTAATACGGTCAAAGGTTAAATGAATTTAATACGGTCAAAGGTTACAAGGTTAATATACAGAATCAATTATGTTCTTATGCACCAGTAGCAAACAATTAAAAAATAAAATTAAAACTAAACTCCAATTCACAATAGCACCAAGAGAACTGGAAAATACCTGGGAATAAATCAAACCAATGAATTCCAAAATATCTACACTGAAAATTACAAAGCACCTGAGAAATTAAAGAAGTCCTAAATAAATGGAAAGGTATATACCATGTTCATTGTTCAGAACACTCAAACTGTTAAGATAACAATTCTCCCCACATTCATCTATAAATTCATTGCAATCACAATAAAAATTCTAGCAGGCTTTTTTTAAATATAAAAAGTGACAAGCTCATTATAAAATTTTTATGAAAATGGGGCCCCTCACTGCTCAATTGGTTGAGCATCCGATTCTTGATTTCGGCTCAGGTCATGATCTCAGGGCTGTGGGATCAAATTCTCTCCCTCTCTCTCTCTCTGCCCCACTCCTGCTCGCTCTCTCTGAAATAAATAAAGGAATAAAACTTTTATGAAAATAGAAAGCACCTAGAATCACCAAAACAATTTTCAAAAGGAAGACAAAATCAGGGGCTCCTGGGTGGCTTAGTCAGTTAAGCATCTGACTTCGGTTCAGGTCATGATCTCACGGTTTGTGGGTTCGAGTCCCACGTCAGGCTCTGTGCTGACAGCTCAGAGCCTGGAGCCTGCTTGGGATTCTGTGTCTTCTTCTCTCTCTGCCCGCCCCCCACCCCCTCGCTCTTGATCTTTCTCTCTCAAAAATAAACATTAAAAAATAAAAAATAAATAAAAAGGAAGACAAAATCCAAAGACTCTACTTGATTTCAAGACATACTATAAACCCAGGACAGAACAGATGCTTCATTACTAATCAAATAATAGACACATATGATCAATGGAGCATTAAAATATGAGAATGTGGAAAGACACACACATACTTGGTCAGCTGATTTTTGCCCAAGTTTCTAAGGCAATTCGGTGGAGAAGGAAAGCCTTTTTTAATAACTAATATAGAATCAGGGCACCTGGGTGGCTCAGATGGTTAAGCATCCAACCCTGGCTCAGGTCATGATCTCACAGTTCATGATGTTGAGTCCCACATCGGGCTCTGTGCTGACAGCTCAGAGCCCGGAGCCTGCTTCCGATTCTGTGTCTCCCTCTCTCTCTGCCCTCCCCTGCTCACACACTGTCACTGTCTCTCTCTCTCTCAAAAATAAATTAAAAAAAATTTTTAAACATATTTAAAAAATAACTAGTGTAGGATTAACTGATTACCTGCATGGAAAAAAGTGAATATTGACTCTTCTTCAGAACATCCACAGGAATTAACTCCAAAGGGATTGGAAGCCTCAATGTAATGCCTGAAACTAGAAAACTCCTAGGAAAAAACATGGCAGATCTGTGTGACCTTAGGATGGATAAAGATTTCTTATATGTGACACCAAAACCACGATCCTTAAGAGAAAAAAAATGATAAATTGGACTTAAAAAAACTTTTCCTCTCCAAAAGATAGCATTAAGCTACACAGCAAAGAAAATCACCAACTAAAAGACAACCTACTAAATGGAAGAAGTTATTTGCAAATGGCATATCCAATAAAGGATTAGTACTCAAAATACATAAAGAACTTATACAACTCAACACCAAAACACATCAAATAATCTGATTAAAAATGGGTAGAAAACATCAATAGACATGCCTTCAAAGAAGACATCTAGATGGCCCGGAGACACATGAAAAGATGCTCAACATCACTCATCATCAGGGGAATACAAATCAAAGCCAGGATGAGCTACCACCGCACACCTGTCAGAATGGCTAAAATCAACAACACGAGGAGCAACTAGGGGCACCTGTGGTTCAGTCGGTTGAGTATCTCAACTTCAACTCCGGCCACGATCTCACAGTTCGTAGGTTCAAGTCGCACATCAGGCCCTCTGCTGTCAATGCAGAGCCTGCTTCGGATCCTCTGTCCCCCACACACACCCCTCTCCCCCACTCATGCTCTCACTCTCAAAAATAAACATGGAGGAGGAGGGAGAAGGCACAGAGGGAGGAGGAGGGGAAGAAACCAAGTGCTGGCGAGCACTTGGAAAAAGAACCCCTTGACCTGTTGGTGGGAATGTAAACTGGGGCCGCCACTCTGTTAGACACTATGGAAGTGGACCCCAAAAAGCAAAAACGGAACTAGCATGTGCTCTAATAATCCCACTACTGAGCACTTCCCCAAAGAATCCCAAAGCACGAATTCAAAGGGATACATGCACCCCAGTATTTACTGCAGCATTATTTACAACAGCCAAATTACGGAAGCAGCACCAGTGTCCAGCAGGAGGTGATGGATCAAGAAAATGTGGCACAGACGATGGAACATTACTCCGCCATGAAAAGAATGAAATCTTGCCGTTTGCAACAACGTGGGTGGACCTCAAGCGCATTAAGTGAAACAAGCCAGAGAAAGACAAATACCATATGATTTCACTCACAAGTGGAATTTAAGAAATAAAACTAATGAGGGGCGCCTGGGTGGCTTAGTCGGTTAAGCGTCTGACTTTCGCTTAGGTCATGATCTCGCGGTTCGTGGGTTCGAGCCCCGCGTCGGGCTCTGTGCTGACTGCCAGCTCAGAGCCTGGAGCCTGTTTCAGTCTGTGACTCCCTCTCTCTCTGCCCCTCCCCTGCTCACACTGTCTCTCTCTCTCTCCTAGAAATAAAAAAAAAAAAAAAAAAAGAAATAAAACTAATGAGCAAAGGGGGAAGAGAGAGAGAGAGACAAACCAGAAAACAGACTCAAATATAGAGAAGAAACAGATGGTTACCAGATGGGAGGTGGGTCAGGGGTGTGAAACTGGTGATGGGGATTAGGACGTCCCTTACCCTTGATGAGCACTGAGTAATACACGGAATTGCTGAATCACTATATTGTAC